CCACACATTTTGTGGTTGCAGAATGTTCTATTTCGTTAGTGCGTAAGAGTAATGTAAGTTTAACATGAAAGATGAGATTTTGAAGGTGTTACAACTGTTCAGAGAAGTTCCAAATAATGTAGGAAGAAACAAAAAAGTGGGAAAATACTTTTAAGCAGTAACGTATTTATGGGGTGCAAACGCAACAATAAACGGGTTTCATGCTGTAAAGTTCTACCAAGTCATAAAATCACGCAACAACAATACAACGATTTGTTTGTAAAGTTAGGCCCGAGGTTCATTGGAAGAGACTCCAAAGTTCCACACAGTGCGTTCTATTTAATAATAAGGTATTGGAGCTGCTAAAAAGTTAAAAATGCTGAAAAGTAACCCAAATGTACTGGTTGGAACAAGTACAGAGTAAAGCTAGAAAACCTGATGATCTTGAGGTTCAGGCTGAAGAATAAATTCGAAACCCTACAGAAAAAGAGAAGTTAGAACATGAAGTGAGCCCCATTGCAATCAGGGGGTTGACCTTAGTAAACAAAACTAACCTAAGTGTGTCTCTTGAAGGAAGCAGAATCAAGAAAATATCTCGGTCTCCACCTTGATGGCAATCAGAACTAAAAGCTTCATGTTAGACAAAAAGCTAAGCAGATTAGACTCAAAAGTAGAAGTAACTTGATCTGCAATCGAAGACACTTATAGCGATCAGCCTATAATTTAGCCTATCTGGATTTACAGAAAACATTTGTGAGGTTGTACTAAGCCATCCAATCAATTGATCATCCAACATAGTTAAAACAAATTTCTTAGATTGATTACTAATGCTTATCGTTATGTAACCAATCAAGAACAATCGATACCAAATGCATCTAAGGCTTTTCTTGAAAGATAAATTTCTCAGGGTAACGAAGTATATGTCATTTTGAAATAATTCGTCGAATTGAAAATATGATAGCACCAGCGTGTAGAGAATGTCCTAAAACATATTACTGCCAAATATTATCAAAGTAGTACCAATAGTGTGGCTAAAAAAAAATAAAGCGCGTACTCTGAATCAGGCTGTATACAATAAACTAAAAGTGATAAACCTCACAAATTTTAAGTGAAAAAACACAGTACCCACAAAGAATGGGCTTACTGTTTATGGGTGCAAAAGATTTATCAAATCCTTGGCTTATTTAAAAAACAACCGACCAAACAACATTTACAAACTTGCAAAATCTGGAACGGATATAAAAGAAAGAAGAAATGTTCGAATCAGTACTTCGTACAAAAGTCAATGATAACACAATCACTATCACACACAATCTTTTGGATTATCTGTTTAGATTTAATTAAAATGAAAGTCCATGCTTCCTCAAGACAGCGTCAAAGCTAGGAACAGTTACGAATAATACCAAAATGGCTGATACCAGTACTGAAATGATGAACAAAATGTTATTATTATTATTATTGTAGTATAATAGTATTCAAGTAGTGTTTTCAGAAATTCTTGAAAACATACTAAGTATAGTACAACATAACCTTTTTGTTCCAGAATCGAAGGAAGAATGTCGTTGCGTGCAGCTTCACTGCCAATTTATACAGATCCGTTAGAAGATCACATTTTTTGGTAGTCCTTCCTCTTGGGTTGGCTTGGCTTGGCTTGGCTTGGCTCCACGATATTCACCCGACATAAAAAACACGACATTTTGCCCACATTCGCTACTGCAGTCATCAATTATTGGGCAGGCTTTTCAATGCTACATTTTTTAATTTGTGCTATAATAATGAACGAAAAATATGAAGTTAATTAGATTATCATGTCCAATATATCGATCTTAGAGAGCAAAGAATATCTGCATATTGAAATATAATGGTTGATCCTAATTGAAAATCTGGTTGTCTATGACTGTGGTTGTCTGCAAATATTATACCGTCCAAAAACTATAATCTAACTTAGAAAAAAATTGAGTTATTGTAAACCATGAGCTTGTAATAAGATGGATGTGGTGTGCGGTTCAGAAATTATCGAAATTAATATGATGTTAGTTTTATAATTGGTGGTAACATCATTAGATAATTCTTACATTCATTTTTATTTCATCAATTATGCTAAATATAACAATCAGTTACCTTTTTAAGCTGTGTAACTACAAATCATATTGTAATTGCCATATTATACCGAAAACTTAACATACTTTTGTTGCCATATCAAACGCATAAGTACCTACATATTTTTACTGATACATCTACAAAATAAAATCTAGGTTTCTTCTTTTCTTTTGAAGTTCATCCAACACTTCCTCGCGCGTAGTTGTTATTGAAGGATAAATATACAATAGCGTCATTCCATTTAATCTGTCCTCCTAATTTTAGAGTTGAAAATGTTCTCTCTGGAATATCTCTGCTTACTGGCAGAGAATATGAGGAAGAAAGATAATCGGATCATAAAGTGATAATGCATTTAAAGGAAAATTGGGAAATTCTTCTGGTAAACTATTGTAAAATTTTTTGTACCAAAGTTTAATATTTATAAAATTTTACTAGCTGTTCAAATTTTAATAGTTGTCCTAAATTTTCAAATTTTTTCTAGTGATGGAACTAAACATCCAAAAGTTACTAAGATATCTTTGTATGCAATAAATCTCTCATCTAATTGCATTATGATATTATCTAAGAATTGCTTGAAAACTGATATTTTGTAATATTCTTCTGGTTCAAAATTTGCTATATTTCTTTGTCTAAGCACATGTCTTGGTCTTTTCAATTGTTCTCCAAATATATTCCACATCAACTCGTTTCCTTCCAAAAATATATTGTTAAAAGATGTGTCAACACTGTTTCGCAGATTTTTTGGTTCTTCTATGCACTTTTCTGCAAGTAAATGTCTTTGAAGTAATTTTGACAAGGGTAGTGTGTATGTAAAAACGACTTCCATAACTAAAAGAGACAACATAAATACGGAAGAATTTTTCAACAATGTTGCCCCAGATGATGATTCCCGATCTTTCCAAGTTGATATGTCTTGTAGAACAGAAACTACGGACTCTAACAGCTCTTTCATTGCAACAATGGAATCTTGTCGTTGAATCCATCGCGTGGGACTAATTATAAGAAATGCCTGCAACTTTTTTTAATGTGATTGCCCTGAAATTTGTTATTCACCTCAAATATGCAATCATAAGCTAAGAACTCGGATCAGTTTTATATTATAATTTAATAACCCTAAAACTATATAATATAGCTATATAGTTTTATAGATACATACGTAGATATATAAACACATCATGTATGTCACACATCGTATGCTTAGTATTATAATAATCAGAAGTAAGTAAACAAGAAAACGTTTTTGCTATAAACATAGTAAACCGCAATCTACAACCCCTCGAGACCCGTCGTCAAAGTAATAACCAGTTTATTCCCTGAAATTCGTGCAATTTTGACGATGAGGTAAGTAATAAAGCAAGGTCTCGCTTGCAGTTTACCATGTTGAATACCTATTTCCTTCGGGAACACACACATACATATATATCGGTGGAGAGGGAGTGACGTGTGCGAGATGCAATCGGTGGTGCTTTATACCAGCGGCAACAGGGTAAACGTGTAGACGTTACGTCGTGGAGTATTCGCGACATAATTACGATGATATTGTCGGTTTAAGGGAGGTCTGTGGCGCCACAGGAGCCGTCATAGACATCTGACGCGCTAATAGCCCGCTCATTACCTATTATCATGCAGCGAGCGACAACGACGACGCCCGTCGTCCTGCGTCTGCTACGAGGAGGCCCCTTTATGCGCCCCTAACTAACCAAAAACTGAAATTGATTAACCTGTATAAACCGCTAACTGGCTGCTCTTGATAGGTGCCTAGCTCCAAAACCCCCTTTGTCCCGGGTTAACGTATTAATTATCTGTACATCATTTCGCGTCGTTTATTCAGCAGTAACCCTCTGGTCTACGACCTCGGCCTAAACTCTCCACAAAGACCAAATACCACCCACAAACTTTAAGACTAACCTAATCAATATTTTCAAACTAAAACCAATACACTTAAATATTTTATTTCATCCGAAGAACGAATTTTATTGTGTCGTGACGAAAATGAATTTACGACGTTTGAGGTAAAAGCATCATCAACAATCTTTTCGCGAGAAAAGACGGCGTCGTTGGCGTCGCGACGTTCACCAATAGAAAAGATTCAAATCGCTTTGAAGCGGAACCATGAGCGGATTGCTAAGGTTCGAGGGCGCGACAGGGGTACTTAGCGGAGCTAAAAATTGAATCACGCTGATTGTTGAGATCGACCGGAACCCATTTACACCGCTATTAGGCTGCAAACGCTCAAAGGAGCGCTAATGTGCTCGTAATAGCGTCCATTGTGCGCTCGGCAATCCTTCAATCAAGCGATCTAAGCAATAGGCCCTTACGGATTTACCGCCCTGCCCCCTTTACAGCTACTTCCCTTTTTTTGCGTTCGCTTTCGCGTTCTATTCAAGATGTTTCAACCAAGATGTAATGTGAAGAACTTGAAAGCTCCTAATCGGTATAAACGAAAAAATGTAATTGAAATAAAAGTTTCTTCTTTTAGTATCTACTTCGATTATTAAAAATTTAGGTTTATTTTATGAAACTACTTACGCCGACTGATCCACTTCGACAATGATATTTAGATTTCTTTAATTGAAATGTTTTTCAAGCGCTTTTCTTCAATGAAGCAGGTTTAATAATGTGGCTGAAGAATTAACAACAACTCATTCATTTCCAAATCAATTTCGACTTTATTTTTCGTCCCATCTCAATCCAATCTCATCCTCACTCAAAATTAATATTTGCTGTCGTTGATGGAATTCCGCTATCTACTACTAGATGACGTTCATTTAATACTGTATAAAATACCTAGATAAAACAAATATCAATAAATAAATTAATAGATCTACATTATTTCTACTTACCCCTAAAAAAAGTAATAAGTTCATATTTGTGGTTATAAAAAAAATAAACAAATCACAACAAAAATAAAACTCATAAACTAAAATACAGTTACAAAATTTATTATTAAATAAAATAGTATGCTACAACAAAATGGTAAAAATTAAACTTCTCTACTATCATGCTCGATTGTCCGCACAATAACATTTGTGGGACAATAACAGAGCATTAAAAAAAACAGGCTCGCTCTATTTTGCAGTCTGTACCATTTCGAAGTCTCTTAGTTAAATAATTACGTTCCAATTGTTGATTTGAGCATTACCTAAACACATCATTAATGGGCAGCGACGCTGCCTGCTGTAATCTTTAAATTATTTCGACTAATTAACCTAATACGAGCTATTTAAACTGATGGTAGAAATAAATTTGCACATCATCTAATAAACGAAAGTTACAAAGAACAAAATTTAGAACATAAAATAGAAACAAAATGAAAACGAAACGGAAAACTGAGTCGCAACGGAAACTCATTCAAAATGTACAGAAACACGGTAAAATTTCATCTTTGTATATTAAAAAAATTGACAATAAATCATTTATATATAACATTGAGTTATTTTGACAATATTGGCGAGACGTCTGTACAAATAACATTTTTTCCAATGCACTACTAATACTTCCAATAATTTTTCTGAGGTTGATACAATTCCCCGGTCGTTCCTATTTTTATCTTTTTTCCACATTTTTTATTACTTTTTTTAATTATAATCATGCCACACACCGAGTAAGGCACCAGAATTATTTATACAATATGATAATTACATGGGAAAAAATGGTATTGTGAACTTTTTGTTTTCCAATGTGGTGGCACTGGTTCCAATGCTGGATTGTATTTAACCTGTAATCATTTTCATAAATAAATCAATTAAGTAAAAACAAAATATCCCTACCTAGTCGCTGCTCCTATCAGAATCACTTTCCTCCTCCGCGTTCTGCAACCAGTCAATAAACTTCTTCATCTGATCCACAAACATCATTTTCCCTTTAACGTTAAAGTCCTGTTTATACCATTTGAGGATCACCTGTTCAGAGATCACATCTGTTTTATAGAACAACATAATGATCTTCTGGAAGGCCTTCATAAACGTCATGTTCGAGTAGCAATATTCTTGTACCTTCAACAACAAACTCAGTTCGGAACGCGCATTTTGCGCAAACGCCGAAAACAATGCTGTGTACAGTTTCAAATGACGAACAGCTTGGTCAGTTACCAATTCCTAATAGACAAAAAGAAAATTTTTATTTTATATTTTTAACTTATTTATATTTTATACTCATTTACTTCTTTTTTATTCCATTCAGGTAGACCCATAACAGTCGTCCATATAATACAAACTGTTTCGTGTTCTTGAATAGCTTCTTTAACCGCGTATTCTTTCAATTCAATGACAATATCGCGTAGGGGTTTGCCTTCGGTAAGGCCATCGTTGAGGAGAATTTGAAGTTCCTTCTTGGCCTGAAGCTGATGCTGATCGTTATAAAGTTTGAGAATTTCGTCGAGACCATTCTCTTCGAAAGCCGAGCGGAAATAGGCCTGCGACTGTTTGCTGTCGGGCACGAACGTCATCAAATGAGACTCGATGTTCGACTTTTTGATGGACGAATGAAGCGACATGACGCCTCGCTCTTGACGCCACCATTTAAATATGTCGATTAGGAAATCGAGTGCGAGATGGTCCTTGACCAGATGCGAATTGTTCAGGGTTAGAACGGAACTGAATGGCAGACTACCATTCGAAATCCAGAGGAACATCATTACCGACAGCTTCTTGCGATCCTCCGGTTTAAAGTACTTCACGTACGTCAGGATTTTCTTTATTTCTTCCTGTTTAAAATAAATTTTATTAGTTAATAAATAAACCTTCGAATTTATTTTTAAGTTTTATACATTTAAATACATGTCATTACAAGAAATTAATATATTATTTACCACGTTGAATAACGGGTGTGAAATTAGCCAAAGATCTCAGTCAGATTTAAAAATTAAAAATGGGAATGATTTTAGAAAATTTTAAAACATTTCTAGAAATATTTAATTAACTTCAGAGTTTTGGTAAATCCTTTAATGACACCCTGAAGTTTCTAAAGTTTACTAAAAAAACTTTTAGGCAATGTTTTTCATATAATTTTAGGTTTCCATAATATTCAAAGAAATTTCTATTGATTGCCCAGTATATCTAGGGATTTCTGGCACTCCTCAATAGTTCCTATATATTCAAGAAGATTTTTATGATTTTCAAAGGATTTTCACAGAATATATATATAAAATATATGGATATTTGTGGATTTCTAAGTATTTCTAAGGATTTCTAAAGAAATTCAAAAACGTCCAAACTGAATTATTTATCTAAGTAATCCAAAAGATTAGTACCAGATTTTTACCGATTTCAAAAAGATTCAAGAATGTTCATGCAGCTTTTTCTAAGGATTTCTAAGGATACTCATGATTTTGCTGCTTTTCCATTTCTAAGCATTATTATTATTCAGGAATTTCTAACAATTTCGTAGAATTTAAGGCCACTTTCACCATCTCTTGTTAAATTTAAACTGAAGGGGCTAAGATTATGGTGTCCAAATTGACTTTTGTATTACATAACTTTCATTACACCCCTTAAAGCCTTCAGAATGCATCCCTAATCAATCAGGTGTTCAGCAAATATTAGCCAGAATATGGGTTTGAGCCCCGGTTTAAACATATTCACCAAGCCGCCCACCCGTCCTTCGGAGGGGACGTTAAGCCGTCGGTCCCGGCAAACAGTCGTACACCTCTGGTTGTCGTTATCACCCATGTGTGTAAGGGGTTTGAACACATGGCTGAACGCGCGTTAGCGCTCATGAAGCACACACCTCGTGAGAGCGTACCCGGGCCAGGGTTGATGAGCAGCTTTGCTCCACCTTGGTACGGAGGGGCCAGCGAGTGAGTGGCATCGTTGAGCGGCACCTGACAGGGGCGAACCCGCACTGGGCCTGTGCCATAGCACGCCCGGTGAGGGGGGTCGGTTAGGAAGCGGAATCAGCCAGAATTCGAGTTAACCTCGCGTTTAACATCTCAGACCTCTTAGAGGAGGATGTACAAGGGGCCCGTTGGGGCCTAGGTGCCGCGTATAGTATACGCACTCCCCGTAACATACATACATACATAGCCAGAATGTAATAATTCTCATTGGTGACTCCTCACCGTCTTTTTGAATTGTTGTTTCAATTCACAGTAGTATGGGGTGAGGGTCTGATGACAATTTATGTATTGCTTCTTTGTTTAGAGTCAAATCTTTTTTGATGTGTCAATCACATCTGGTATCTTCTTCATATGGCGCTACAGCCCAAACTGGGCTTTCCTGCCGCTCTCCTCCAAACTCAAACACCCAGAACACCGCGTGCATCTTCCCATCGTTTTCGTGGTCTCCCCACTTATCTTTTCCCGCACATTTGACAGTCCAAGAAACTCTAAGGCAACCTCTATTCCTTCTTGCCACATGTCTACCCCACTATAACCATTGCAGTCTGATAAATTCTGAATCTAAATTCTAAATTTGAGTCTTCAGACATTATTGCGAAATAGGCTTTGTTTGCTGTGTATAGTCTTCTATGAATTTCTCACTTTTTCATACCAGCTGAGTTCAGTTCCATTCTATTCAGATATATGAAGTGTCTCTGTTACCCCTTTTTTGTATTTTTATAATTTATTCCATTTTGGCATGTAGTTTTAATTCTAAGTATGGTTCTCTTGCCAATTACTCCCTATGACACATGATATAAATGTCATCTGCATCAGCAACAAATTGTAGGGTCTTATTTGTTAACAGGTTTGCATTTTAAACGAATTGAAATACAGTGGCTAAATACTATACTCAATTCTTGGTAAACTGATTAAATTGATTTGAAACTCTGATCCTTATCATATTTATTCATATTTTCAAATCATGATGAATATTTATTGCTATCTTCACATCTGGTATAGGATGCATTTGGCAATCAACATGATAATAAAAAATATATATTTAATTACAAAAGTTATAAAACCAACAATTTTGATGATTATTTAACTTTCACCTTGCTAATGTTTCTGCAATTTTAGCAACTTGTTGATACATTAACAATTTTTTAATTATTTCAAATAGTTACATTAAAGCAATTACTTCATGCACTTAAATTATAATCATAATCAATTTCACACAATTTCATGACAAATTTATGACATCCAACATAGAAAATTTCAAAACTAGTTTTCCAAACAAAATTGTATATAGTTAATATTCAGAAATTTAAAAGTATTAACAAAAATAAAAAATATTTCTCAATGTCATAATTATCAAGGTGTTGAACATCCGCGATCATATGAATTCTGATTCTGTATTAGATGTTGGGACCATCACTCAAAATCAACACACACAAAATGATTAAGATTTATAACCCATAAGGGAGATAGCATTGGACCAACTGGACCTTTTTCACAAGTTGGTTAACTAAAGTTAAGTAGGTTGTAAAGAAAACCATTATTAAATGTCCAAATTATTATCTCTCCCACTCCACACCAATGTTCTTCCCTTTCATTCCAAACACACTTATATGGGAAGAAAAACTATCAATTGTTAAGGATATTAAAGTTGTAATGTTTACTGAATTCTCACCATAAATGGTACTCAAACACATACAAAAGAATTCCACATTATTCCCTTTAAAAATAAACCATTCAAAACACCTTGCATAATTTCTAAAAACACATCACATGTTCTTAATAGCTCTATTATTTTGCATTGAAATATGTGATAGCATTATTGAATTGAGAAATAACATTTTTAACAACATTTCAAAAACAAAAGTTAATTACAACACATATTTTCTTTAGTTTTGGTTTAAAATAAATTTTTCAACATCAAATAAAAATACATATTTTATGAGATAAAGAAATAAAAAATGTAACATATGTGATAACATCTAACTAATAATTCAGCTAAATGCCAGTAATAATGTAGATCATTATACCAGAAATAAACGACATTTAAAAAGTAATAAAATTTTAAATATCTTTATGTTACTTCTGGTATTATTGTATATTGGGATTGTTATAAATTTGTATAAAATTTTTTTGCTGTAATTAATGTACCTGAAAAATTTTTTCTAAATACTTGTACCGACGCATTAGCTTGACGAAAACTTGTTCCCAACTCTTCATCACATCAATGTTGATCTCGTCCGGAGTGTTAAAGATGCACGCATCCGTTTTGGAGATTTCGCCCTCCAAATTGAGCGTGCCTCCTGGCACTTTAAACAAAAAAAAAGCTTATTAATATAAATTCAACTATCAAAATTAAATTGTATCTAAAACTATAAGAACTCACTACATCATATGACTCATTATGATAAATAAATAAGATGACTAATATTTATATTTACCCAATATGCCTCCAGCAATAAGTATGTCAAAGAGGTTCTCCCCATAGCGTCGATAATCTAACTTGCTGCCTGCACCATCCAGGTAACGAGAGATTGCTTCAAAATCCTTAGCGCACTTATCCAGACCAGTGATTATTGCATCTCTAAATCCAACTGGATCGTACTTTTCTTTTTCATCTATGTAAAATAAATCAAGACATAAATGAGATTCTTAATTAACCTGTGTTAGTAATCTGTTGTGACAAATCATATTTATATAGAGTAAAACCTCAATATAACACACTAATATGGGGAAGGGAATGTAAATTATATGCTTAATTTATTCTATTTGTGTATATAAAATAAAGATCTTGATTGAGTTTAGCTGTGGGTCTCTTAAGATGGCTAAACCTGAATATTTCTAGTTCTAGGTTCAGTGTTAATTCTACTTTTAGTTAAATAAGAGTGAATTTAATGCTGAATAACCATTATGGTTCTAGGTCTAGTGTTAGTTATAAAAAATGTACAAGAATCTAGCATTAAATAACAATTAAAACTGGAACTAACACTAGACCTAAAAGTAGTAATGTTCAGATTTATCCTTTTTAAGAGCTGTATGGCTAAACTCAAATGTTTCTAGTTCTAGGTCTAGGGATAGTTCTTTTTGCTGAATAAAAATTAACACTAGAACTGTCCTTGATTTATACATCATGTAGCCAATTCAGGGAATACTCAGAGTTTATCTATGAATATGAAATAGAGCAACATGTGGAATCACCTGAATTGCATTGTATCAATGAGCCTTAACATTTATATTTCAATATACTAATGTATTAAATAGATAAAAATTTCCAAATTCCCTTCTAAGGAGGTCCATTATATGAAGGTTTTAATGTACTGCTAATAATTTTTGTACCTCTTTTTCTGGTCTTGATGCGTTGACCGGATAGAACTGGTTTTTCTACCTTTTGACTCATACAAAAATTTCTGAAAATCAAAAAAGAAAAATGATTAAAAACGTAAAATATATAGCCAAAACTTAAAAAAAACGTTTTAAAAATAATTTCTAAAGTAATCTATAAACAAATCTATAAAAGAAAAACATGTTACGTTACTTACACAAGCAACAATATTGGCCTCTAAAACAAAATATTAACAATTAATCTTGATATTTTCTCAAATATAACGGACGAAAAAGACGTAAATGAGGGTCAACGACTTTAAAAAATTTTTTTCAGTGGTCAATGTGGATTTTGTAAAACAAAGAAAATTACACGTTTGATTCTTAATTAATGATTAAAAGAACCAAACAGACGTAACGTTAAAAATAGAAAATTAAAGAAATTTCGCACAATATACGGTAAAACGAACCACCATGATTGGAAATAAATGGGAAAAACCAAAAAAATCGGAACGAACATGAGCATGGGTTTCTTTCGAGCTAACCAACAAAATTTAATAACCACATGGCATTTATACTCCTTTATTTACAATGTGACTTGACTTAAATTAATGTTTGGATATACTCACGTTTTAACTGATTAAAAAAAAGCACCTCGAACGAGCTCTGCTAAAGAATTTTAAGACGACTCCGTCAAAAGAAATTCTGCGTCTGCGAAGTGTTTGCTAAAACCGGAATCAATACAAATTTGGCGGCAAATTTGAACTCGGAATTATAAACCCAGAAGAAACTGCTACTCCGACGGCTCGAACCGCGGGGACGAACGGTTTCACTCGTTGATTTGAAATCGATGAAATCGAAAAATGTGTTCGGGCAGTTTGAAAACTGAATGTAAAAGATGTGTGACATATAAGAAAAAAATGATTTGATTATTGTTTTTTTACGTAGCCCGCTCAAACGGCGGACGAAAAATTTAATGTCTTTCAAAATACGCACTTTCATTATTCCTTTCTTATTCGTTATTTCTCAACTATTACAACATTATTAAATTTGTTTGCAATGTTATAAATAAACTTTTCGAAAAATCAACAATGTTTTAATAATTACAGTTGTTCATTTGACAGTTTAGGTAACCTTTTTGACAAGAAATTTTCATCAAACCATAAAATCAAATTATTACATTATTTTACCTTTCCATCTTATTTATTATTGTATTTAGAGTATTATTATTTTTAGTGATTACCAAATTATTAATTAACTCTTCACTTCTGACTTGAGTCAAATATACTTGAGCGCGCGGTATGTATCATCCTAACGTATTAACAGGGTGGGGAGAGAGTATATTTAAATATAACCATTTTCGCCAAGTTAAACATGAGCTTGATACATATTACCCACAGAATGTACCCCTCTGACTAGTTAAATGTTATGTATAAATATTTACACGTTTATTAATAAGTATAAACAGACAAAAATGTTGTATTTATATCAAATAAATATTAGAATAATATAATTAATTTTAATTAGTTATAACCCATATTATACCATACCGCCCAGGGACAGGTCAGAACAATGTTCATCATATTCAGGTTCTTTGCAGAATTTAAAGTCAGCGATTCCACCAAAATAGAAAAAAGGACCAACAAGACCCAAAGGCCTTTCGGTATATAAAACTTTAATGGCTCTGTATGAAGATACTCAAAAGATTGAGTAATTGTTACACTTTTGTATCTTTTAGGAGTACGAACCCAATACTAGTCAAAACATGTTTGTGAATTGAGTTATTATAATTAAGGCCATGTACCCTTATCCATTCTTTATAGATTAGCACTTGATGACCTTATTTATGAGTTAAATACTACCTACTTACTTCTTTACCATTTGTTGTGCTGAGGATATAACTATCAAATAAGTGGTAAACATAATAATAAGTTCTTTTAGTGAATGTGGCAAGTACTGATCCTTGTTTACTTAAGCAGAATGAGTTTACTTGTAATATCGTCTACTTTTCACCATTGAATTGAAATATCTTGGTACAATCTTAGGCAAAGGTTTAAAATGGAACTCCCACTTAGAATGTAGAACTGCAAACACCGACAATGACACTCTCCCATTACAAAAAAGGATTTTGGCGGACATGGAATCTGAATCTGATGACTACAATATACATACAATAATAATGTATTGTTTCCAGAAAGATACAATTTACAGTTTAAACTACAATACCAATATATTATATACTCCTATCCCTTTCCAAAAACGTCTCCCTACGTCTCGCTGCCATCACCTCCCCTATCCATCTCCTTCCCTCAGCCCTTTACCCCAGCACCTGCCACCAATCTTCATCTCCTTATTCCTCAACTCACTACACTTTACCAACAAATGGTGTAAAAACTACCATCCCTCTCCACATAATCAGCACACCCTTTCCTCATCCTCCATCCAATATCTATTGGCCCTTTCTTCATTGCCACATCTAAACCTGGCTACCAACCTCATCTGATGGGTACAATATGCCACAATTCTTTACCATAACAATGTTCAACTTAGCACAGAATTTAACTGTCATTGGCATTATCCAGTAATTCAGTTTAATTAGCGTTCCTATGAAAGTAGTGAAGTATTTTGCTATGGATAGTTATCTTCATGCTAAAAAGTTACATTTCCTGTGTGTTTCTCTGTTACTAAACATTTTATGTTATAATATTGATACATAATCTATGAGATTATGTATTAGATATTTAATTTCATAGTGTTATCTTGGTCGCTTAGTTTTGTAAGCGTTATAAGTTGTAACAAAGAATCTAATTTGTGCTTTGAAGTAGCTATAGTTGTTAAGACTGTAAAGACACTAATAACATTGAAGGAGCCAAAAAGATAGAAAAAAGACTGTCCGCACGAAGCCTGAAGAACAGAAGGCAGTAACAGAACTAGAAATGCAGAAACAAATCAAAAACTAGAGAAATGCTAGAAAAGATATAAAAAGGTCGAACAAAATTCCAAGAAAAAAAAGCCGCAACAAGCTACAAACACAGTAATGAAGTAAAAACATAGAAGATACTAGATAAAAGAAATCCCAAAATGCTTCAACATCATCACCTAGGCAACATTGACTCTCAAAATAAAAAGATACCGAAATGGATGCGTTTTGCATATCTTTTTTTAGACATGCACAAAAGGAGCTAATAACGATTCTGTCACGTTATCATAAATGATCAATAACAGTATATGATGATACTGTTTATTTGACATGACACATTTTCAAGCCATATACTCCACATCATTCTCCCTGTAGTTTTTCTGGAGCATAGATCTATACATAAGCATGCAACATGACTTGTGAAAGAGCAAGAAACATTTTAAATTGTATTAATTTTATTAAACATATACCAAGAAAAAAGTAAAGATGCAATGACCAATACATTACATGATAACATTTAACCCATGAATGTTAATGTGTTATTTCCTCATCAATCACTAATCAAAATTCAATCAGGAGCAACACAAATAAGATTAAACTCATGTTTAAAATTAATTACTTTTGATATTTTGGTAGTTAAGACTATTTTTAGGTAAATAACAATATAATAATGCACTTAAAAATATACCATTTATTCCATAATAAAACCTATACATTTTATTTATCTTTTGCAGGCTTTATTTGATCTAAAACTATATTAGCATGTTTCTTCCTTTCTTCTTCATCACTAAAATACTCAGCTAAATCATTCATGGCAGGAACTGAAGGTTTTGTTGTTGTCGTTGTTGTTAGTTGTGGTTTTTTCTCATCAAGTATTAATGCAGGAGTTATTTGCTGATTTTTCGACAGTGTCTTATAAATACTCATCGCCTAAAATACATGTATCATAATAATGGTTTTATAAAAATAATATGATTTTATTCACCTGTGTAACTATATGAGATACATCTCCAGCATTTGCTGGCAATATAAGTGTGTTATTATTTTGAGCTAATTTTTTAAACGCATGTACATATTGCTCAGCAATACTAAAAGAAGCAGCACTTGCTCCCATGCTGGTACCCAGCGAACCAGCAACAAGTTTTAATCCAGTTGCTCTTGCATTAGCAATTGCTAACATAGCTGCAGCTTCACCAGCTGCTTTATTAATGTGTTCTTGTTTTTCAGCCTCAGAAGCTAAAATCCTCGCTTGTCGTTTACCTTCAGCTACATTTATATCAGCCTCACGAACACCCTCAGACTCTAAAATTGCTGCACGTTTCTTTCGTTCAGCTTCTACTTGCATTTGCATCGCTTCTTGTACTCTTGTTGGTAGTTTTATATCCCCTGAGTAATAAAATTTAAATAAGATAATTTTATAAATTAATTTGCTTAGAAAAAAAACTTACTAATCTCATAACGTAAACAAGTAATACCCCAAGCTTCACTGGCTTTATTAATAGAATCAACAATTGAAACATTTAGATTTTCTCTTTCCCTAAAAACTTTATCTAAGGGAATTTTACCAAGCTCTGATCTCATTGTTGTTTGTGCTAATTGTGTAATTGCAAACTCTGGGTCTTCAACACCATAACTAGCTAAATAAGGTTCAACTATTCTTAAGTACAACACCCCATCAATATTTAAAGTAACATTATCTGAAGTAATAGCACTTTGTTTGGGTACATCTATTGCGATTTCCTTTAAACTCTGTACATATTTTACTTTATCAATAATTGGAATTAAAATATTTAAACCAGGGTCTAATATTCTATGAAATTTTCCCATTCTTTCAACAATCCATGCTTCTTGTTGAGGTACAAACATTACAATGGTATTAAGAGGCGTTGATGATCTATATCTTACTGTCATCAACTGAAATTGCGGATTTATCATCGGTGATGAAACAGGCTTAAAAAGAAAGCAAAATAATTTAGTCATTTTTGGAGGTTATGTCTTCGTTGGTTTTTGATTTACCTTTAATAATCGTAATGATGAGAATAATAATCTTGAACGGGAAAGCATCGTAGAATTTTTATTAAATTAATGTATTTGTTATCGTCTTACAATTAGACTTTTATTAAAATTTGAATGTTGAAGTTTCTGTAATTAACCTACAAATTTGACAGTTTTGACATAAACACGTGTTACAGGTTCCTGTTTTTTTGAGGTTATAAAAATGTTGATATTTGAAAATGTCAAAATAATATTGATCAAATATTTACTAATAATTTGAAAAATACTAAAGAAATGACCTCAACTTTTTTAGCGGAAGCAAATAAGTTAAAAAACTTACAATTAACACTAGAAAAAAACGAACAAGTATTATTAGAACACATCAAAAAGAATGGTGATACTCACATTATCGAGTTCCATGAAGAATTATCGTCTTCAAGGTAATTTATTTAATTTATAACTTAATTCAACATTGAATTGTATTTATTTGAAGGAAAAAAGAGATGGAACACGTTTGGTTGGAATACAAAAACATAGTGAATCCGTTAAATAAATTTAAATCATTAATATCGAAGGATCCGGTTGAGATAAGTAAATGATTTAAAGAAAAAATAGAAATGAATTGAATCTAATATAAATAAATAGTTTCAGATTTGAATCAGATTAAAAGAGAAATGTTTTTATTTGGAAAAAATATAAAACATTCAAAAATTCGGACTAAAGAGTGTTTAGAAAAACTTTATGAACAAGAAAGAGAGTTGGTTGATGAAATAAAGCTTTATGAACAAAAAATTGTCCATTGGGGCCGACATGTAAATGTATCGGAGACAGTATATGATAAAAATAAGAAAAATTCTGTGGATAAGGTTGATTAAATTTAAAAAAATTTGGATTAAAAGTTAATTACATCTTTTTTTAAGTAGAATGTTACAGATTTTTTAAGTTTCCTTTCAAAGCATGGTGGCCATACAAATGGTTGGAATGTTGAAGATCATAGTTTATTTTTGAAAGCAAAAAGTAGATGTAAAAATGTAAATGAATTATGTGAATATATTCATGCTTTATTACCAGGTAATCTCTCTAATTATCAGGTCTCAATTATAAAATCATTATAATTTATGTACATTTCTAGATATTAGTAAAGAAGAAATTGAATCTCATGAAAAATGGTATACAAATTACTTAGAATTGAAACGAAAACATAAAGAAGCAATTAAAAATTGGAGAAAAGTAAAATCGGCAATTCCTCCAATACAACATAACAATAAAGTTAATATGAATGTTAATGATGACCAAAATCGTATAAAATCAGCATATTCAAAAGAGAAATTTAATAAAGAGGAGATGCAACAGAGATTAAAGCAATGGAAGGTTAATAAAAAGATTAAGTTATTTTTAAATTAAGTTTAGTTTTATTATTTTGTTTTTAGCAAGAAAAAGAAGAAAAATTAGAGACTGAAAAGATAATTAGAAACGAAATGAAAAGAAGACAACAAGAAATTGATGAAAGAAAGAAAGAGAGACAAGAAGAAATGAAAACAGCAGTTCAAAAATGGAAAATGGAGCGATTGGAAAAAGAACAAATTAAAAATTTTGAAAAATTCGAATCTGAAAAGCAACAAAAAGTGTTTAGGTTAATGTTAATAATAAATAAGGGAAAAATTGGAAAATTTATTATTTATTATTTTTAGATCAACAATGGCGAATAGATTGATTAAAGAATTTCAATCTCAAGATGAGTTATTTGTAAGGAGACGAAAAGAACTTTGTCAACCAAAAACAAAGAGCTTTGATAAACTTCCCGTGTGCAATATAAATGTACCAAGAGATCCAAGAAGACTGCTCAAGCCCACCAAACAATGGATTGCAAGACTGAAAACTACCGATGATTTGAGAAAGGTTGAAAAACCTGATATCAAGTCAATACCTAAACTTGGCATTCCAAATTGGAGAAAAAATCTTATGATTTAAACTATAAATCATATTTATTTTCAATTCTTTTTATATTATAGCTTGGCAAATCTATCTTGGCTAAACTTAGTACATGTTTATTATTGTTTTTTATAAAATAATATAAAAACAGGTGAAGAATATAATAATGTTTATTATTTAAAATCAACTTTGTTACAGCAAAACGAATATAACAGGTTTTTTGCTTACTTACGTGGTTACTCCTATGTTTGTCTTACTTCTACTTGTTATTAATGTTTCCTTATTCTCATTTTGTTCTATATCATTTGGGATTATCTCTACATCAGAATCATTATTTAGAGGAATAGGATTAGGTAGTGGGTTATACCTATCTTTTATAAAAAATACATTTCTTCTATAATATTTATTCTTTTCTATTTTAATTAAGTATGACCTAGGGGTTTTCAATACTTTAACAATAATCGCTTTTTCCCATAAACCTTCTTCGGTCTTCTTAAACCACACCATATCTTCTTCCCTATATCTTTTAAATTCCAAGTCCTTCTCATTAAATACTATTTTGGTTCTAATATTTTTATCAAAATGTAATTGTGCTGGCGAATATTTCAATCCTGCAACTATTACATTTCTATAGTTCAAAAGAAATAATTCGAAATCACTATTGGATTCTCTAGCTTTTCTCATCACTCATCATCTTTGCTATACCTACTGCTTTTTAAATTTAATTTATTTTAGACAGATTTGATATAAAATTTCTAAGATAATTTATAATGCCCAAAATCTGTTGCAATTCCTTTTTATTGTTTGGAGGTTTTAGTTCTTTTATTGCTCTAATCCTATCTGGATCAGGTTTCATACCTAATTTGTTAAATACAAAACCAAAATGTTTCACTTCATTTACAAAATATTGTAATTTATCTGGATTAAATCTTATACTATATTTTCTTGCCCTATCTAATACACTATCAACTCTTCTGCACCATCTGCAGCACATTGTTTACCTTTCAAGTCACCAAAATATTTAGAAATACATTTTTGAAAAACTTCTGGGACTGAATTAACACCAAATGGTGCTCTATTAAATTTATAACATGCAAATGGTGAGCTGAATGTGCAAAATTGAGAAGATTCCTCCTCAAGTTTAATTTGATAAAACCCATCTTTAAAGTCAAAGACACAAAACCATTTTTTATTTGCTAACTTTGAACTGACACATTCCAAGGATGGTATTTCATAATATTGTCTGGCCAAGATAAATTTGCCAAACTGTACTTCATTTTATTTGTCCAGAAATGAAGAACCATATTTATTTATTGTTATTGCTTTTCTTATTTAAATCTCAAAAAAAAAGTTATATCTGCAGATATGGTAACTTCAAACAGTAACAAATATATTTTTAATGAATTCTTTAATAACGGAATCAGATTTATAGAAAAGTTTCTAGGTTGTCCTTCAAATGAACCAAATATAGAGTTACATCATGCCTGAATGAGTTTTAAACATTTGTTAAATTAAAACCATAGAAAAAAACTAAAAATAAACAATATAAAACATAACTATAATTTTTGTACTTATTTATAAGGAATTATTAAAACATTAATAGGTATAATATCAAAATATATTTGTTATATCTAAATATCACTAAAATATATTCATAAGATATTATTCAAAATACAATATATAAAAAAATTCGAATGTTTTTGAGATAATAAAAAGAAATTAATATAGTAAAAATAATATGAATAAACAATAATAGTAATTTAAAAAAATTTAAATGACTTATTAACAATCTGTTTTAAGACTAGATTTGATCTACTACAACCAGATTTGGCACAACTTTCGTATGATGAATGATAAAGTATTGTTATTCAATTATCCTTGGTTTGAACTTAAAAACTATTAAAACATCGTTTACTAATCCTTTGGGATTAAACAGCCAAGTATACAATTTATTACTATTCAGAAATATTTTGATTCACATCTTGTTTTTCATTTATTGCTAACCAAATTTCTATCAGACGCTGCATTAGGTGTTCCATCAAATTGTCTCAAATGAATCTAAAAAATTATCTTTAACTTTGATTATATAAAAATTAAAAAGTTATTTTAACCTGTAAATGAAGGTTAACTTCAGCACACCGACTTAAATAAGGAAAATTTCCACCCGATTTTAAATGGGCAAGTTTAGCTTGAGGATAACATTTATATAATTCTTCTCGGACGGCACTTGATAACGCGTATTCATCAAAAACATCGATTATCGTAACAGGTACATTTGACAATTTATGAGCTTCAACGTAACCTTTTACGCAATTTAAAGTTAATCTACTTGCTAATTCAGCTTGAGGAAGACTATCCAACTAAAAATAATAATAATTACATTAGTAATTAAGACATAAAATCAATAACAAAATCAAAACCCTTTCAACCATAAAATCTATAGCATCAACAATCTCAGGATCCACTTTCTCAGCACTAAAATTTCCCATTACCATTCGTTTTAACACTAAAGCTGGCATTATCCAATATAATGAAGCTGATTCGTGATTTTTAAATACTGAAGTGTCTGTAAATGCATTACAAAGAATTAAAGAAGCCACTCGGGGGCAATGAGAAGTGTATTCCGCAAATTTTTGAGCAAGATAACCACCTAAAAGTATATTGATAAGAATCATAAAATTGTAACAATTTCTTTTTACCTAGCGAAGCTCCAAATAAATGAATTTTATCGATTTTTAAATAATCCAAAAGTTTTTTAAACCCCTCACACCATTCCTTTACATTCCAATAAACCGGACCTTCAGCTGAAATAATTCTTATCCCTTTTGCTGAAAGTGCAAGAGCTTGTCTGAAAAATACATCAGCAGTTCCTGAGACAGGAGGAAGGCACACTAAAGGACATTTCACGTTTTTGGGGCCGCAATCATAAATTTTCCAACCCTAAAAGTTAATAATAAATATTTGAAAGAGTACAATATAGTTAATTACCTTTGTATTGTCGGCATCAACGCAAATATTTTTTAAAGGTACACTGCTTCGAAAACTTAAATATTCTTGTGATTGTGATAATTCGTTCATATAACTCATTTCGATTATATTTAATTAATTGATCGCTTGTTAAGAGTTATTAAGAGAAAAGTAGTGTTTTAAAGAGTAACTTAAGATGATCTGAAAAGTATAAAATTACACTATACAAAATAGAAAGAGATAACCTAATCTGTCAATTTTAATTTAAGATTAAGTAATTTAAATGTTTTTAACAAGCATTAAAGTATTAATTAGAATATTGTTAAATAGAATTAAAGGCGATTAATGCCGTAATATAATATTTATTTAATAAAATGATTCATTTTTCGTTATTTTGACGTTTAAACATAACCTAAAAATTAAAATTTACTAATTGTTATTCAATATTTGTGTTACTTAAAAATTAGGTAATTTAAATCTTTTGCAAATCAAATTTTTCGTAAAATCCAAATTTCATTCTTAAGATAATAACTATCGTAGTTATTTATAGGATAATCTAAAAATAGATTTAACCTAAAAATGTCAAAATGTCAAATAAACAAGCACTGCATTTAATTTTAAGATTTAAAGAAACTCCGATAAAATGAAGAAATATTGCCAGTTATTGCTTTTAATAGGTTGTATATTAAGTTTAACGTTATTATTGATATACAGACATCAATATAATCGATTACATTATGTTTTGGAAGTTTTTAATTTTTTTGGTCAACCATGTAACATTTCCGAATTGGAATTAACGGAAAACGTTGCTGTCCAACACGATTGGGGCCCAGTACCTTTATGGCAATCTCATGGACCAATTCATACGTATTCTGGGTATTGGATGAAGAAAAATGTTAATGATGATAAAAGTAAAGGTTATGCAGAAGTTATTGTAGCTAATCGAGAGAAGACTTATATGAAAGGGTGTTACCTTTGGGAAGAAAACGAAAAGAATCCAATTATTGGTAAATTTATGTATTCAAAAATATCAGAAAATTTGTATTTTTATAGTTGTTATACTGACGGTTTAGAAAAGAATCCGTATGCAGTCTCTTTTTTGGGGAAACTTAAAAATCCTATAAGAAAAATCTTATTAAAGACGCCATCTGAAAAGATTTCCTTTAACACAACAGTTTGTGTGCTTCCTTCTGCTAATTTTAGTAAAAATGAATTTTTGGAATTTTTAAGCTTCCACACACTTGTTGGGATAGATTCCTATATTTTTTATACAGATAATATTTCGCATAGACTCCAAAAAATTATCGTTAATCTTTCTTCAAGACTCAATATTAAAGTAACATTTTTTCCTTGGAACCTTAACGTTTTTAATCAAAACTTTACCAGGGACGTAATAGAACAAGATTGCCTTTTAAGAGCTTTATCAAACAGCAAAAATGTTATAAGCTTAGCTTTAAATGAATATTTAGTGCCTTCCGCGCACATAACACTTAACGAACTCTTTAACAATTACCAATCAACACCAAGAATTCGATTACCTATTCAAACTTTTTGCATTCGAAATATAAGACAAAAGAAACCAATTGCGCTTCAAAATACCGAAGTTACTTATTTTAACGATAATTCTATCCGTATGGTTTATAGAAATGTTAAAGATCATGTAAACCATGGGGTTAAATCGGTTAATAAACATACAGCTTCTATTCATAATTATCTTATTTGTAATCAAAGCGGACGTAGTTATAATGATAACATAATGTTAAGATATTCAACTGATTTTTTAAGATCTACTTTAATGCAGTTGTATTTACATGATCATATTTAAGATGATTATATTATTCAATCTACATTAATAAATAATGTATTTATCTGAAGGAATGTTTTTAATAATTAGTTCATGATAACTTCAACAACATTTGAGAGATAAATTTTCGATCTGAAAATAAATAATAGTTGATAAATAAAGCACTAATATATGGAGACCAAACTAAATAAATTACAACAAACAAGATCTTTGAAATGATTTATTTTATTGTAAATCAGCTGTTTTATAATAATATTAAATTATTTACAATTAAAAAAGATTTTTCAAATGCATATTTTTCAATTCACAAGTTAAATAGTTCTTGTAATTCAAATTATTTAAAATAAAAGAAAGAATTATTTATTAATCCTTTTTAATGACTTTCCCCCTTTTTGCCTGCAACTCTCTTGAAATCCCCCATGTTAGTTGTATTAATTGGAGTACCAATAATCGCTAAATGATCAATTTGTGTCACTTCATCTCCTGATTGATTATCTTTAACGAAAATTTGAATGTTTGTAACGTTTTGAAATTTAACATAACGAAGATTTACAGGATTTCCTTCCAAATCCGATGGAGTTACTCTAAAACAATCAAATTCTCAGCTTTAAAGAATCCCACAGATTAGAAATCTCACTCTAAATCTTGAACACTGGTGCAACTTTCAACCATATCAAAATCTAAAGTTCTTGGTTGATTTATAAAAATCCTAACGTTTTTAGGACCTTTATCTGATGGCCCTTTAAATTTAATTGAATGAATTTTAACAGCTTGATTAAACATTATTGAAATAATTAATTGCTCATCACAATCAGATTCGTTTAAACATTCACATTGTTGTTTTAAAATAAATAGAGCCAAATCCATCTACAAATCAAAAATTAAGATGTTAATTTTTTATTAAAATCATTAAGTTGAGAATAATTACATGCCCTCCTACTGAATCAGCATCTTCACCTTTATCAGAACCATAATATTGAACTATTTTATTTTCTAAAGCTGTTGGATCAGCACCTTGTAAATGATCAAAGCGGACGTACTTATGTTAAGATATTCAACTGATTTTTTAAGATCTACTTTAATGCAGTTGTATTTACATGACCATATTTAAGATGATTATTTTATTCAAATACTTGAATCTATATTAATAAATAATTTATTGATCTAAAGGAATGTTTTTAATACTGATTAAAAAAATAATATAACTTCAACATTTGAGAGATAAATAAATTTTCGATCTGAAAATACATAGTTGATAAAGCACTAATATATGGAGACCAAACTAAATAAATTACAACAAACAAGATCTTTGAAATGATTTATTTTATTGTAAATCAGCTGTTTTATAATAATATTAAATTATTTACAATTAAAAAAGATTTTTCAAATGCATATTTTTCAATTCACAAGTTAAATAGTTCTTGTAATTCAAATTATTTAAAATAAAAGAAAGAATTATTTATTAATCCTTTTTAATGACTTTCCCCCTTTTTGCCTGCAACTCTCTTGAAATCCCCCATGTTAGTTGTATTAATTGGAGTACCAATAATCGCTAAATGATCAATTTGTGTCACTTCATCTCCTGATTGATTATCTTTAACGAAAATTTGAATGTTTGTAACGTTTTGAAATTTAACATAACGAAGATTTACAGGATTTCCTTCCAAATCCGATGGAGTTACTCTAAAACAATCAAATTCTCAGCTTTAAAGAATCCCACAGATTAGAAATCTCACTCTAAATCTTGAACACTGGTGCAACTTTCAACCATATCAAAATCTAAAGTTCTTGGTTGATTTATAAAAATCCTAACGTTTTTAGGACCTTTATCTGATGGTCCTTTAAATTTAATTGAATGAATTTTAACAGCTTGATTAAAAGTTATTGAAATAATTAATTGCTCATCACAATCAGATTGAAGGAAACCAGATCCAGCTGTTAAACACTGAGCTAGAGGATGTTCATCAGATTCATTTAAACATTCACATTGTTGTTTTAAAATAAATAGAGCCAAATCCATCTACAAATCAAAAATTGAAATATTAATATTAATTAAAATCATTAAATTGAGAATAATTACATGCCCTCCTACTGAATCAGCATCTTCACCTTCATCAGAACCATAATATTGAACTATTTTATTTTCTAAAGCCGTTGGATCAGCACCTTGTAAACGATCAAGTTTAGTCTAAAATAAAATAATTAAATGATACATCAAAATATTCAATTTTAGTGCAACATACTCTGTTACGGTAAAAAATAAATGTAGGCATAGCAGAAACACCTTGAGCCATCGCAGTTTCTTGGCATTTATCTACATCGATCTTTATAAACACCGCCCGAACATATTTTGATGCTAATTGTTGAAAAATTGGGGCTATACTTTGACAAGGACCACACCTATAAAATGTAGAATACATAGTACAATTATATTAAGAATTCTTTTAAAGAAAAAAGTAAGGTTAACTAACCAAGTTGCTGTAAAATCAGCTACCACTAACTTATTGGTAGCGTTTGCCAATTCAGATTGGAAATGGGGCTCATCGTTGATAACTCTTACACTACCCATGTTGTTTAAAAAGGTTTAATAAATGAAATATAGATGAAGTATAAAATTTATTCTCTTTTTGAGGTGGATGACTGTCAAAAATTGAAATGTCAAATTGAACTATTAACCAAGCAGTCGCCATCTATTGTTGTTGATATGAAATAGAATTAAAATGAATTTAAACATTTAATTTATTAATTAATTTTAATTAAGTATTAATTGTTACGATAGTTTATGATACAAATGGATTATGTTATATGGATTTAATACAAAAAAGTAAAAAATAAAATTTGGATAATAAATTTTAAGTTTAATAACTTCTAATTAGCGCCATCTTTTGCCCGACGATCGTTTCTATTGATAGTTGTGGACTCATTCAACCGCGTATAACCATAGCGTATGACTGATATCATTGATTATACTACTCCAGATTGCTAACCATATGTATAAAATCGGCAACTGTATATGTTGGGTTGCATCACGCACTGTTTATTCTCAAAAAGAGAATAAATGTAGATAAGTGAGATAGAGTCATAATAAGAAAAGAGACGATCAATTAGCCCCGACCTCAAAGGACGTCACCTATATACAGAATGATTCACATAAGAACCGACACAGAGCAGGGATATGTAGAGGACAATAAATTAAGATGATTTAACGCAATTTATCTCTATACTAAGTTGTACCCCTGAGGAGTTATAGGCCTTCAAAATTGGGTCTTAAATTTTGAAATCATTGAATATCTTCATAATACATTAAGCTAGAAAAACCAAATTTGGTATACGTTATGAGTGTACTGAAGGTATTAATTGGTAGCAAATTGAGACCAATTATGGCATTTCAAAGGGTTGATTAAGGGTGATGGTCTCCTAAATTTTGACAGATTTTTTTAACCTTTTGGTGGATTTAACACATTATTGCCTCATTTCATGTGGAATTTAATTCTAAAACTTTTTTTACTCTTATTATTTTTTAAAAAACATTGTCGTTTTCATAAAAAACTCAAATAACTAAAGACACGTATTTCGTTAATGCTACTTAAAATCATCTAAAATTCAGTAGTCGGCTGTGAAATTGT